AAAACAACAACAGCAACAAAAGTACATGGAAGATATATTCAGTGTAAATGATAAGAGATCACAGAAGGAAGGTGTTGCATAGGGAAGAGGGAGTCAGTGAAAATCCATTTGCAGAAGGTTGGATTTGAACTAAGCATTGAAAAAAAGAAAGAGAAGATGTGGACAATTAAAGAAAGATAGCCCAGGAGACTGCTAATGGAAAAGCACAAATAAAGGAATTAAGAATATCTTGTATGAGGAAGAGCAAGGAGGCCGGGATTATTGAATTAGAGAGTATATTGATGAGGGTAAACTATATGAAGACTTGTAAGATAGGAAGGGCCCAGGCTGTGAAAGGGTTTAAAAGCCAGTGTTCTCTAGTATGCTCCTTTTCCCAACACACACACATACACACACACACACACACTCACTCCCTCATATATATGTAAACACACACAACATAGATTTAAATATTCCTGATGTATTTCAAAACTTCTCTCCCTTTCTGTCAGATGTATTTCTTTTGCATAAGGAATACCTTTTATTTCTATATTTTAATCATGATTCCTATGCTACTTGGTAGTGGTAATACTTAAGAAATAATTGTATATTAAGATAATTTTGCTTTTTAATAATAATCTATGTATTAGAATATAAATACCTGAAATCTTGTGTGTTAGTCTTTCCTTTTTCAACTATTTACTTCTATGAATAACTATATTACTGAATCCTACTGCTATTCTATGTACCTGATATACCATGAAGTATCTAGATATAATGCTTTATTTGGGCAGTTTTCTTTGCCCTCACTACTGAAATTTCCATTCTCAATTTAAAGAAAGGCAGACCAAAATAGGAACACATTCTTCCTAATCCCAAAAAGATCTTCAATCCCTGACTCTAGAATCTATCATTCTGCTATCTTAAACAATAATCTTGACTTGGTTTGATAGTCCTGCAATATACATTGTGTTCTGTCAGCCTTCTGTAGACAGCTGCTCGCTTCCCATGTTTCTTTTCTCTTGCAAAATCTCAATCTTAAATGAAAGAAAAGAGTGTAAATATGTGACCTGTAGCTTAAGGAGCTTTAGTTTCCTTTTCAAGGTGTCATATTCCATACACCAGGGGTCCTTTACTTTATTTTTTTATGTGTGTCACGTATCCCTTTGCTCATGGTAGCATCTTGTTCCCTTCTCAGAATATTGTTTTTAAATACCATGAAACATCTGTGATCATAAAGGAAACTAATTATAATGAAATGTAGTTATTGAGATACATTTATTGTTTTGTTTTGTTTTGTTTCCTTTTGTTTCCTTTGTTTTTAAGTTCACAGACCCTAGATTAAGAAACCCTTCCGTTTAGTTTCTGATACCTCTAGAGAGTATGAGAAATTATGAAGTCCTCAGTTTTTATGAATGAACATTACTCTAACCCAAGGTGATCTGCAATATTGTTTTCCAGTGGGATTATGGGAGCTGGAAAACAGTGAGATTGAACGCTATTCAAAGAAATGGTTGAGATTAAATCCAATTTTGCTGAATAATATAAAGACTTATTCAGATATAAGGCTGTCTTTAGATAATGTCTCTAACATTTTTCCCCCAAGATATGCTGGTAGTTCCATTATTTCATGTCCCTAAAACTTTCTAATGACATATGAACATCAAATATTTCCTCCTAAGCCAGATTTATTTGGGGAGGATTCATCTAGCCCATTCTTTGGTCTCTGATAGTCATGATAAAAGTTGTTCTAGGGGTGGAGTGGAGAAAGATGTTAAATGGCCCTCATGATTCCAAGAACACCATTTTTATTTTGTTTCTTTTTGAATTGCTCTATCACATGGAATACTTTCATCTCATTGCCAGACTGTTGTCATTCTAAAAATCTTTTAACTTGACTGATTTTCAAGTATGCTTGGTCATTGTCAAACCAAAATGAATGTTTAGCATTTGTTCAAGTCATTACCTATAGTCAGAGGTCATCCCCATTGTCTAATTTCTACTTATCTAAGTACCACTTCATGGTTCAGCCCAAATTATATCTCTTTCGTATGACCTCTACCAATTGTTTCAGGGTTCACTGGACAGATGACATATAATATTTTTTAAAATTATTTTTCTTTTTTGTGTACATCCTTTCTCCCTAACTATACCCATAAGCCTCTTGAAGATAGAACCTATTTTTGTGCCTCTTTATCTCCAAGCTTAGTAGATATTCAATGTATTTTTGCCAATGAAAATTATTTTGTCCTGCGGTAACATATCATTAACTATAACACACTTGCAGTTAGTATTAGGTGTTTACTAGCCCATATGTTTTATTGTTTTTTCCCATTTCCTTTATCCCTTAGGCTATTATTGGGGATTTGCATGCTGATAAAATTTGATCTTTATCAGGAGGTCTCAAAATCTTGGTTTATGTAATTCAAGAAATGAATATCATTCCCTCATAAAAAGTCAGGAAGAATTAGGTATGAGATTAACTAGTCACTTTCAGATTGCTAAAATGAAAACAACACAACAAAAATGCTCACCCCCAAAATGTAAAACTGGAAAATACAACTAATCTGTCTTGTTTTTCCCTTCTGGTTAAAAACTGTATATTTGGGGTATTTACTATTCTAAGTATAAAGAAAAACTGAAGAAAACACTTCTAATCATATACTTTCTATGCCAATAATTAGTGTGCTATTCTTAGTAGATTGCCCTGAAGTAGCCTAAGTTTTTAAGAAAAAAAAAAAAAGAAAAGAAAAAGGAAGCATCAAATAAAAAAGTCATTATTCTTCTAACTAGGAGATGGTACCCTAGAATGTGGGCAGAGGTTCCCTGAGGAAATGCACTCAGGAAAATACTAGAATCCAGCTGATGATAAACTAAAAACTTCACCTGTCACAGATCCCCACTACATGTCTTCATAAGCAGGAGTGCTAATACTGTGACATAAATAATAAATATGAATCACTTTCTCCGAATCTGTGTAAAAAGATTTAGCATCTCCAATTTGCTAAGAAATATACATAAATATTTAACTTTATTTTATTTTGTTTTGGTTTTGCTATACATACTATTAGTTATTTTTTTTTTACAAGAAAGAACAAATGTGCCACCATTATATGAGGCAAAATTCATGTTTAAGCACAGTGATAGGGCCAAATAGATAAACTTCAAGAGAGAAGCATGGAAATAAGTATTTTGTACATGAAATGGAAAATTAATAAAGACTTTACTAAGAATTATATAAAGGGTGATCCCCAGGTATGTGTGTGACCTTAGGGAAATATTGCATGATCCTAGTTCTGGAGCTCTTCTGTTATTCAATTGTGTCCAACTCGTCATGACCCCATTTTGGAGTGCTCTTAGCAAATATACTAGATTTTTTTAAAAATTTCCTTCCCTAGTTTATTTTTACATATGAAGAAACTGAGAAAAATAGGATTAAGTGACTTGCCCTGGGTCACACAGGTTTAAGTGTCTAAGGTCACCTTTGCTCTCAGGAGGATAAGTCTCCCTGACTCCTGGCCAGGCATTCTTTTGGAGCACTAAAGGAACTCAATGACTATCTAGTTCAACCCCTTCCTTTTAAAGAGGAGGAACCTGAGGCCTGGGAAGATTGTAACTTGACCAATATCACCCAAGTTGGTATTATCAGAGATGGGATTTGAAAACAAATTTTCTGATTCTAGTGCCCAGGCTCTTTCTGCTGACCAACAGCAACCTCCCTAATATCTCTCCCTAACCTCTTTCTATGAGTGAAATCCAGCTAAAAATGAACATAAGGAATAGCTATAATATACAAAATTCAGTAACTACATTCAGAGGGTAGAAGAATAGATTCAGCTACAAGAGGGTTTTTTCTTTCTTTTCTTCTTTCTTTCTTTCTTTCTTTCTTTCTTTCTTTCTTTCTTTCTTTCTTTCTTTCTT